TCCAACTGACGGTTTCGCAAATCAAAATTATAGTTTCTCAAAGCTATCTTGAAATGGTATCGTCTTCAACAGCTGCGTTAGAGGTCTTCATTAAACTGGTTAACCGCTTCGGCATGGCCTAGCTGTTTCACCACATGATTTAAGCCCCTTGGACTGTGCATGAAAGCTGTTGGAGAATACTTCTAGCAAATGTAATGCTCATTTTTGTGTAGCAAAGAAAACTTTTTTCGTGCAACCAGAAATGTTCTGCTCAGACCCCGTATATTCCTTTTGATCCCTTCTGTCATTATGACACTGATACTTTTTTGGCTGAAGCTTGATATTAAGCACACATTAAACAGACAGCCTTTTCTAATTCCAATGAAAGGTTGGTGGCAAGTTGAATGACCACGTGATTCCGCTGCCATACGGTATTCGATTCTGTCTAGAATATTCAGACTACCTCTATCTCATCGGTGCGATCCAACGATCAATTTTTATTCTCACCATTCACAAATTCTATTAATGTTATATATCGAATGAGCCCAGCACCGCTCAGTGACGCGGCTTTGAGAATTTTGCAAGTGATCCTGAAACTGACGCTGTTCATAATGGCCGTCAGAACCTGAAGCTGACATCCGCCTAAGAGCTTGTGGTTGTTACGCAGCAATAATCTATGGAGTTTTCTTTATCATGCGAAACAACACTGGGTTCATTCCTTTTTCAAATTGCTTCATGGAACAGAAGAATATTCGCTAGAAACTGGTCTCGGTCGGCCCTCAGGTAATCAGGTGTTTTCCCCCAAAATAACTCCTCATACACAGATTCTTGGACAGCTTTTCCTGTAACCCAGCTACTTAAGTACTCTCACAAGGGAATACCTTTCACATTTGTCCTGGTACGCGTTTATCTACGGTAGCACACCAATCCTTTCCCGAATGATGTTGAATCCATTTACATCGCATTTAAATGGATTCAACTAATAGGAAATTAACTATCTCCCAAGTAGTGAAACCCAAAGCCAAGATCAAAAATACGTGTGAAAAAACCGAATGGGCTAATCCAAACATTCACCGTCTAGATGGTGAATCCATTTGACAAGATGGGTGGTTTAATTGTCAGTTATTATGTTACTGATGTCTATTTACTCACGCCTATCTGTTAGTGTTTAGCCGTCAATCTAAAACAGATTTTCTGAAAAAGCCTAATTTTATTTGCTTTCCATTTCACTGAGTCCGTTTTGGTTGGAGTTAGGTTACCCGTTCATGCACTCCTACCTATTATTTATTGGCCAAAATATCCATGTTTTCTGCGCTGCATTCAGGAATTCTCAGGGTATACCCAGTTACTCCACTTCAACACGGCTGTTCGTCTTGTATTCCTGAACAATTTCAGTAGAGTGTTCCGTCAATATGATAAATTTCTGGTCCCAGAACAAATGGAATCCAACGACCACATGACCAACAAATCCGCAACATCCAAAGCAACAACGCATTCCGGGTTGCATGCATTTGATAAGGTCGGTTTTCTCAGTGACCAACCCGAAACGCATTTGTCCTTTCTCAGTGCATTCCTCGAAACTCAGATGTTCACCAGCTTCCTCGATAGTCGTTTGGCGAACTCCAGCACTGCATGCCAAACTGCAAACTCCGGGGACTGGTCAGTTGTACACACCGGATCGACTAAAACCAATTTAACCGTTTTCGACCAAATGATATCTCGCATGTCCGATCTCAGTCTGAACTTTCACAGTGGACCAAGCAAGCTGACAACTCCTGGGGATGTTGGACCCATACGTCCAATGGCTGGTCATGTACGAAGACCTGCCCCGTTTGGTCAGAGCGGTTCAAGTCACGGCGGGCTTCCCGTGCGTCCTGTTAACCAAGGTAAACTTCTTAGATGCTCATAGAAATATCGCTTTATATTGAGCTTTTTTAGCTTCATCTTCTAATATGTTCGTTGTCGACTTTATCTCACTTTTTTCTCTTTCTTATTAAATCATTGTGCCACGTAGAACAGAATGCTTCTAATAATCGTGTACCTCTAGTGGATAATTCTGGTGTGCTTCAAAGTGCTGCCATCTCTCCGTATCTTTTCTTTGCTTTCATTAGTGATCTTTCGGTTCCACATCCTGCTCATATCCAAAAGTATGCTGACGATGTCGCCTTATGTCAAACCGTTTCTTTTTCGGAATTTTCTTCCTTCACTGAAAATCTGTCCCGAATCGAACAGTTTTCAAACCAGTCTGGCCTTACTCCTAACACATCCAAGTGCTTGGAGTGCATTTTTAGTTCTTCCCGCTCCACATTACCGTCAGACTCTGTAACCCTTGATGGTAACGTTTTGTCTAGAGTGACCTCAGCCAAATTTCTGGGTGTTACNGTGGTCGACACACATTCAGAACTGTATGGGAAAACTTCGGCGCCTCTCCTTGCAGCTACGAAAGCTCAGACAATTTCGCACTCCCCAACACGTTTTGTTCTCTTTTGTTGAACAAAGTGTTCTCTCTATTTTACTAAACTGCTCCCTTGTAGTGTTTCCCGGTCTATTGAAACAAGACTTTAAAACTGTCTGTCGTGGATTAATGATAATAAGCGTGCATCCGTAATTTCTGCTGAATCATTATTCACAGAACTTATTAATGGTCATATGAAGTCTTGTATGACCTTTGTCAATAAGATTCTAAACGACCCAACCCATCTTTTGCATTTTGACCTATCTTCTAGTTGCTCCCACTCGATCACACGTTCCTTTTATCGGTACCTACCCTCCCGAATAAACGTTTATAAAATCCACTGTACCGTATCTGGCTCGCATTTTGACCTACAAAGAACGAGTTATAAATGAATTATGGCAATCTTCAATTGAATGAATCCAACTTTAGAGACATTTTTTACACAGCACTCTATTGAATTTATTCATGCTTCTATATTTTCTCCGGTGTGATGCCCAGTACAATTTTTAACTGAAATGTAAGTATATCTCTACTTGCAAAAGTTATACAAATACAAAAGTATCTCAGGCATCTTGGATTCCGTTGTCATGCTTGTCTCGTTTTTGACCTCAGTCTGCGACAAGATTTTGGCTGTAGTTACTCGTAGTAGAGAAACGTTCGAACAATCGTTTTGATGGCATCTGTTCAACTTGCGGTTAGGGTGATCAAGTGACAAGAGCAGCAATTACAGAATGGTAGGTTAGGTGATTGATAGGGGAGGTCAAGGCCTAGCCAATTGACTTGAGGGAAATGATCAAGGCGTTCAATGATATTGACTGGTGTTTGCTTGACGTCTACTTTTACGTTGCTTAATTAATCGATTTGAGTACATGCGCTGGTTACCTGTTTAGACATCCTTCTGTTTTTGTCCTAATTTTCACTTCTCTCGTTTATTTATCTTTCCTAATAGTTCGTGCTGTAAACTAGCAACTGCGAACCTAGCCTAATCATTGGAGTTGACCTATACAGACCTTGATTTAAACTGCGGATACTGTGACTCGGTACGAAGTTGACCTCCTACTTCTATGCTTTTGTGATCGTTGTATGCTTGTACACATTCATTGACCATAAGTGAATAACCCCATGTGCTATATATATATGCTTGATTGTTCTAAGTAATCAATTGAGAAGATTAAACGAAATGTTAACATCTCGCGACATTTGTCCTCTTTCTATATTGATGAAATGGGTAAAGGGGACCCAATACATCAGGAATCCTGTTCCCTAAATCTCTATTTGTTTGCAGGCGCTTAGATCTTCCACCGCGGAACATCTCAACATTCACACAAAAAAACAGCTTTATGCTAATCGTGAATCTTACAATGAGTTCAGAGAAAACCTCGCCTCGGTAACCTATTTTGCTTTTTCTGGCCACCAAAGTATTGTGTTCGTTCAAGGATATATTTGCTTGGTTTCGATTCACAGAAAAGGAACTGGCGTCACATTCTATTCGTGAATTCGTAATTCTGTCGTTCAAATGGAATAAAATAAACAAACTCCAAATCATAGAGACCTACATAACATTGCAAAGATGACCATATACTGGCACATGTGAATCGAGTTTCAAAGTTTAAGGTGGATTGATAACGAGGTGACTGGCTTATCGAACAGCACTGCTTTGGAGAAGGAGTTCGTGACGGAAACTAAGCTTCACGTCAAAGTCAAACACGAAAAACTCTTCCATGTAACTGGTAAGCTGCTAGTCACGGGTTTTTCTACCGATTCGATTGAAAATACCCGACTATACGGTAAAAACTGCATCCAAAGCGCAAATGTCATTTCAGCATCATCTAGGAAAGAGATTAGACTCCTTGAATTCGTATGGATCCACTCTGCACCAGTTTGCTCGATTTTCATTTTTTCAGAATCCCGTGTATCGGTTATTTTTCATTCATACTTTTAATAATGCTTATTAACAGATCCCACTGGTATAACTTACTTTTTTCGCATTTTGACATTCATTATTGTTATCTTTTTTTACTCAAAGCTCCTCTCCCAGATTTGGTCCCCGCTTCCGGTAGCCCATCTCACCCAGGTTATACGAGTTGCACCATCTCCAGTGAACGCATTCCTGACCCTGTGATCAATAAACTTACTCCAACAGCAGGATTCCCTCCACTTCTGTGCCGCGGTGATTCGGGTCCACTTGACGATTATCTTTCCAGTCTGCGACCGCGAACTGATTCTCGTTTGGGTTGTTTTCCCCCACTAGCTCGAGAGTTGCTTATCCCTCCTTCACCACTTTTGAGCTCCAGTCGACATGATCTGTTCGTTCCCTCGACTTACACGTGTGGCCCACAGGAACCAGATGCTCGTCTACCACGGACTGTCTCCTTGTCTCATCGATCCACAGTAGCCGGCGCACCGACTAATTCGGCGCCTGTTTCACCACCGTTGTTTGCCTCTAGTGGTACTCGATCNGGGTACTTCAATGTCTCCGACCCATGGGACCGAAAGAACCGGGTCGCAGCTGGTTTCGGATCCTTTGGTGGGTGTTTCCCGTGGTCTTTTGCCTATTTCATTCGTATGACATATCATCGGAATACAGAAAACAAGTGCTACTTCTATGGTTTTTCCATTCCTTAAATAGACACTGGCGGCTGTTTAGAAACCTCATTCGATCGCTTAGTGGCTCATGGCGATTACGAAGTATCCACTGGCTGTATTGTAGGGCTCGCGGCCTATGTAAGAATGATCGACTTTGAATTACATTCCTAATGCATAAGGCCGCAGCATGTTACCCATTTACGTCTCCTCGCAGTCTAGTATAGGTGATATTAAAATATCCCAGTCGTATAAGGTGGAAGACAGCGAGACATCTTCATCCTATGCTGAGCAAATGTAAATGTTCAAAAATGTAGGTTAATCGATCTGAATAATTTTTCGAAGGCTTGAGAAAAATAGCGTGTCGCTTACATTCCGCACGCAAAGCGATCGGAAGC